CTGACCACAATGTTTACAGTATTTCATATAGATCTGACCACAATGTTTACAGTATTTCATATAGATCTGACCACAATGTTTACAGTATTTCATCCATAGATCTGACCATCAATGTTTACAGTGATACTACGTCTTAGAATGAACATAAAATTTAAGTTCTCAAGAATGGTCAATATGAGTATATATTCATCAGTGAACTTACCTGGTGTCATAAAGTTACAACAGAATCCCTGTAAAATCTAGAAAATTGGAAAATTCATAAAACTAAGTCATTATTGAAAAACGCTGAATCATAATATTAAGCGTTTTTCAATAGTTAATTGCATTTTTGATAATAAGTTTTTTGGATTTATCGGATTATATAAGGATCCTGTTATGTTATTTATGACACCAGGTATATCTACTGATGAATATTATACTCTTATTGACCATTCTTGAGAAATGAATTTGATGTTTATTCTAAGACGTAGTATCATTTTAATACAATGTAAATATAAGTTTATAAAACTTTGTTATGATGTTAAACATGATATTTATGGATTATTTGTTTGAGCAGCCAAAATAAGAAGAATTCAAACAAAATGAAACCTTAAATGATATAATTTTATTATACTCCCACATAGAATGTCTTTAAATATTAAATTCGGATATTATTATATTATTTTTAAGAAACTATTGCGAGAGTAAGATTAAAAAAGATTAACAGAAATTAGGCTTATCTATTATTTGTCAACACAATGGAATATTTGTAATTTTAAAGATGGGTTCCCAGAAAGTAGAGGTGTTCTAATGACTTGCAAAAATACCAGTTTGTCTCACATGTCCATAATTTATTCATAATTAGCTAAATTAGATGAGAATTAATTACCAGCAGAGTGACCGATCAAGAAATGTCAAAAAGTCTTTTTTTGTTTATCCAGACTACACATACATGGATATTTATGATTGGTTAAAACTTTTAATTATATGCAATAAGAACATAATGATATGATTAAGAATACATCATAATTCATTAGAAATACCTATTAATCAAATAGTTTGCTTAATTTGACACTAAACAATAAGGAAACCCATCTTTAATGTATTTTTCTGTCTTATTTTTTTAAGTGTACTTTTGAAAATATACACTATTATTATGAATAGATAATCTTCTTATTGAAACTATTTATGGAAACTATATCTTCTTGAACTTGGAAATAAAAATACAAATCTTGCTGAAATCTAACAGGAAGAAAATGTTATTTTGATGTATTGAAACGTGATCAGGCTTTATGGAATCTTGCTTTCTATTAAAATGAAAATTCTGCAATAATATCACCAAAGTGTTTCTCTGATGCAGAGCATCCGTTTTTTATGAGTAAAACATAAAAGAAGAAATTTAAATTAAAAAAAACCATGATTTTTGTGCCAATTATCTGTGTGACTAAAATTTTTGATAATGTACCTAATAAAATAGTGCTGGGCGATATACCAGTATCACGATAAATACCAGTATAGAAATTTATATTGTTAATAATATCACCTGATTAAAAAATACCTAAATATCACCATATCGTGATATATGGTAATTATCATGATATATAGTCAAATTTTTGTCCAGATAAGATCATCTACATAATTTTAACTTAATAATTGATAATGGTTAGCAATTGATAATGTTATGCAATTGATAATGGTTAGCAATTGATAATGTTATGCAATTGATAATGGTTAGCAATTGATAATGTTATGCAATTGATAATATTTGGCAATGGTAAGCAATTGAAAATGGTGGGGATCCTCCATTTAAAAGTAGTACTGATACTCTTGGCATGACATGGCATTGCTAAAAAAGTCACAATTGATATGTTGTGAAATAGTCACAATTGATATGTGGTGGTTTAGTACCAATTGATATGTTATGGTTATAGTACCAATTAATATCTTGTGATATAGTCACAATTGATATGTTGTGATATAGTCACAATTGATATCTTGTGATATAGTCACAATTGATATGTGGTGGTTATAGTACCAATTGATATGTGGTGGTTATAGTACCAATTGATATCTTGTGATATAGTCACAATTGATATGTTATGGTATAATACCAATTGATATCTTGTGATATAGTACCAATTGATATCTTGTGATATAGTCACAATTGATATGTTATGGTATAATACCAATTGATATCTTGTGATATAGTACCAATTGATATCTTGTGATATAGTCACAATTGATATGTTATGGTATAGTACCAATTGATGTGTTGTGATATAGTACCAATTGATATCTTGTGATATAGTCACAATTGATATGTTATGGTATAATACCAATTGATATATTGTGATATAGTCACAATTGATATGTTGTGGTATAATACCAATTGATATATTGTGATATAGTCACAATTGATATGTTGTGGTATAGTACCAATTGATATGTTGTGGTATAGTACCAATTGATATGTTGTGGTATAATACCAATTGATATATTGTGATATAGTCACAATTGATATGTTCTGGTATAATACCAATTGATATATTGTGATATAGTCACAATTGATATGTTCTGGTATAATACCAATTGATATATTGTGATATAGTCACAATTGATATGTTCTGGTATAATACCAATTGATATATTGTGATATAGTCACAATTGATATGTTCTGGTATAATACCAATTGATATGTTGTGATATAGTCACAATTGATATGTTATGGTATAATACCAATTGATATATTGTGATATAGTCACAATTGATATGTTCTGGTATAATACCAATTGATATCTTGTGATATAGTCACAATTGATAGGTTATGGTATAGTACCAATTGATATATTGTGATATAGTCACAATTGATATGTTCTGGTATAATACCAATTGATATCTTGTGATATAGTCACAATTGATATGTTATGGTATAATACCAATTGATATCTTGTGATATAGTACCAATTGATATCTTGTGATATAGTCACAATTGATAGGTTATGGTATAGTACCAATTGATATCTTGTGATATTGTACTGATGTTCTTGGCATGACATGGCATTGCTAAAATGTGCACAAACTATCTTTTTCATCCAAATTGGGGG